ATTCTTCAATAGTGGGGCCTTCCAGGCAGGGCCTGACAATTCCCACCACCGCCGCCTGGGGTCCCCTCCCCGCCTCCTCCTTCCTTCCCAGTCCTCCAAGCCTCAGGTGCCCCTCTAGCCGCCCCCTCAGCCTGGGTGGGGCCAGAGGAGGCCGAGGCTGTGGCCCCCAGGTCTGGGCATAGGGAAGGCAGGAAATGTTCTGCCCCCTACATCGGCTGTTTCTAGGCCTGGGTCCCCTCCCCTAGGGCCTGACTGATGTGCCACCTCCTCTAGGAAGCTCTCCCTGACCCCCGGCTTTATCCGACCCCCCCCCCATGACACCCATTCTCATATCCCACCCCATCTCCTGCCCTTCTCCAGAAATGCCTCATGACCTGGGTCTGAAGGCTATTGTTCCAGCTCCCCTAGGGAGAGAGGCTGGAGAAGTCTGAAAGGAGGGAGGCGTGTGACCCTGAGGAAGTCTCAACCCCTCTCTGGGCGTCAGTTTTCTCATCAGTGCCATGGGATGAGAGCACCTACCTCTCCCAACCCACGGGGCCACCCAAACACAGACCGAAGCTGAGTGATCTTGCACAGCAGCGTGGGGAAGGAGGATGGGAGTGTGGAGAAGCTGTTTCATTGTCACTGTTCAGGAAATGTCACAGGCCCAGGGGAATACGAGCCTAGTCCCCAGGGAGCACACACCCCTCTGGACACAGTCATCCCCACTCTACCCCACCCCAGCCCTTACACTCCCACCCTCCGGTGACAGCGTTACCTCCAAGCATGACTAGCTGGTGGGAGGGTGCTGGCTACCTCTTCTACCTGCTGAGGTGGGCCTGGTGGCTGGGGCGGGGGAGGGGGAGGGAAGGGGACAGGCTCCACACCACTGGAGACAGCAATGAAGGTCTGGGCTAATCAACATCTTCACCATTGGACTGGATGAGGCTATGTCTCCCTCATTAGATTGGGGGCTCCCTGAGGGCAAGGGCAGTCTTGCCTCTCACACTGGGGGTTCTTGGGTATAAGCGTCATGTTTCCAAGTCAGATACACCCTCTGCTCCACCTTGTTGATTGGGTGGGGTTAGGAGGGTGCAGTTGGGCCCATGTGGAGTTGGTGGGACCAGGGACAGAAGCCCCTCTCTGAGCCCTGCAGTGGACACAGCCCTGTGTTGGGGACCAGAGGCCTGGGGGCCAGACTCCACTCTGCCCTGACCCACTATGGGATGCTAGGCCCCTCCAGTATCCCAGGCAGAGTCAGCTCCGTGGGTATACACACTTGGTTTCATGCCCTACTGCCACCATCTTGAATGCTGAATCATTTTTGAACAAGGGGCTTTCCCCTTCTTTTTTCACAGAGCCCTGAAAACCATGGAGCCAGCCCTGAG